TTAAAAGTAGGATACCATTACATTTTATTCACTCCCAGAGTAGGTGGACACATGTAAATAACCTACTGGGAATGGTCTCAGGAATATCTTACTTTCTCAGCTATGACCTTTTGGACTGCCTTTTCAGGCAACTTAGCCAGTCAACTCTCCTAGACACGATCTACAGCATGACACAGGCCTGCCACTTCTTTTCATCTCCCTTCCTCTCCACCAGCTGCTGGAAGAATTAAATACAGATAAGTACAAATTTGTTAGCATCCCAGTCCTATCACAAATACATGGACCACCCAGTTTTTACACAGAGAGCTGTGCTGGAAATCTAACTCTGTTTGGGACAGACTGCAAATCAGAGAGCTGCAGAGACCCCGTTTGTTAGCAGAAGAAAGAGTGCCTATACTCTTTGAATGGCACAGTCCTGGTGTCCAAGCAAAGATAAGCAACACTGACAACTGATTAAAATATCCAAACCGGCTATTCTGAAGAGGGCAGTTAGGAATGTCTTGTCTACTGACCAGTGACACTGGGCCAAGGAAATTGTTATGGGGAAAACATACAGGAGAATCAACAGTTTGTTTTACTGCTTTCCTGTCTGTCGAGACTGCTAAAGGTCTTTGCTACAGTACTGTCAGAAACCATTTTTTGCCTGGTCAGTTTAGCAACAGGAAGAATTTCCTGAGCAATCTTCTTGTGCTTGACTCAATGCCCACAAGCAAAGTGCATGGAAGACACACTTTAAGTCAAAAGTCAAACTGAAGACCAAGATTTCATATAGTATTAATATCCGGCCCACCTTCAAATATATCCTAGTGGGACTGTCCATTTGCTGAAGGCTTAATTTCTGTTAAAAAATCAGTAATGTTTCTCAGCAGCATCTCTCAGATGAACAGGATTGTGCAGCTCAGCCTGTGGGCTTAGCGTGCTAAGCGTTGCTGCTGAACACAGACTACTTTGAGTCAGAATTCTGAGAAAAAAACTTAAAAATTAGGTGAAAACAGCAAAAGGTAGCCTACATATGGAATGGAAAGAAGACAAACTATGCATAGTTGACTAACATACATGGTAGTGAGCTGGGGGAAGTATGTAGAACATTTCCATCCTAACCCTCTTCTCCAAATATAAAAGTCAATCCTGTTATGTGACAGAGGTAAGGAAAAAACTGCCACTCTGCTGGACAGAGTGGGGACAGAGGAATTACATTGAGGGCACACCAACAATTCATATTTGCCGCAGTAAGAGAACAGAAAAAGATGAGCTATGCAGATCTCTATTTCAAAGGAGGAAAATTCTGACTAGAAAAGGAGATTTTGAACCATTCGCAAGACAAATGAATTGACCGAGTGGATTCTGTGGCTCTGTGGTGCTGAGAAAAAGCAAAGATGAGCTACCAGGAGAGGTCCAACCCAAGGCTGCAGGAGGAGCTGGGAAGCCCAGTCCAGTGTCAGCTGAAAAAGACAATACAGGCATGTGAGGAAGCCCAGGAGGACAGACCCGTAAGAAATGAGAATTTAAAGAAAAGCTATAGGGGTTTGTAAATATTGATTTTAAACCAGCATATAATCCCATGCAGTTGACACTGCTGGTATCAAATAAACAACCAGATGAAGCTCACCATGCTCCCATCATCACCAGAGGACCCAAACGTAGGGCTTCCTCTCATTTTAGTGAATGTTGCTTCTGTTTCCCACTAGTGAAAACCACCGCCTGATTGAAAGGGTTCCTTTGCAAATGCTATCATTATTTTAAATCCTCTGGGTCAAATACTTTTTGTACTCAAGTAAGTACTGAGTAATAACAATTTACACTGATCCTATAAGAAATAGTAAAGGAAAAGGGATTTAGCTATAACTCATGAAAGTAGTTTTTCTCACAACATCAGAGAAAAGCCATTGCTGCAAAAAGGATTTTAAAGGTTCTTGTAGCTACAATATGAGAACTACTTCTCTATAGCATTCAAACCCTTCTGCTTTATTATTAAAGATAATACCACATAAATACAACTTAATCCAGGCATCTGAACTGCCTTCTGCAACATATGTATGATCTTTCCATTTTTATACCCAACAAATCTGATAAACAAAGATTATATAAAGAGAAATTGTTGGAGCATTACGGTATGAGTATAGCACAGACTAGTTTCCTTCTTTTCAAGTAATCCTAACGTATACAGCCAGAGGAGTCTAATAATCGGAAAAAACTGACTTCTGTTAGGAAAAAGAAAATAATTCATGTTAAAAAAATTCCCTGACTTTGGGCGTACTTTACTTTGTGCTGAATATTTTTAAATGCTTAAGATTCTAAAAGCTCTGTATTACAAAAGAAACCAAATTTCTACTTTACTTTGCTTTTTTTTTTTTTTATGTCTACTGCCATCATCTCTGTTCTCAACAGCCCTGTCAGACCAAAAAACAAGAATGAAGAAGATAAGGAGGAATAGAAATAGAAATATCTGTTAGGATTAGGAGTAAAAACAAAATCTAAAAAATATTTAGGACAAAATCATCACAGATAAACAAACTCTTCGATGCCCACCCCTCAGGGAGATGGGCATGGGGAGAAACAGTGTGCAGAAGTTGGTGCTGGGACCAGAAAACACAAGCCACAGAGCAGTAGATAGAGAAGATTTGTGAGAAAAGACCCGTAAAGACCTGTATTTGCACTTGAAAAAGTGTGATGATTCAGATGCTGACAGCCCCTTGAAAGATAATACTGAAGAAGAGCACTAGGTTTCTTGTGAAGGCATTCTGTCGCAGTTTAAATTGCATTGTTTATTCCTCTAAGCAGGCAGATAAGCCTGAGAAACACAGGAACGTACAAATGCATTTCTATGTGGAATGTCCTGCAACATAAAAATAATTGAAGTAATAATCCTGTGGTCCTCTAAATAGCTATCATCCGTATTTCTTGCACACATTAAAACCGACCAAGTAATGCTGATTATTTGGCTGCAAGATGAAATGCTGAAAGGACTGGAACATGGAGACACGTGGTGCAATTCCAACAGGACGAGGAAGACTGTGCACAGAGGCTCTCGCTGGCGCAGGCCACTGGAATAATCTGGTGCTGAGGAGGTAGTAGTCATCATGTACAGGCAGGAGTGGGCAAAATGAAGGCCACTTAGGTAGGAAAGTATCCACAGTACAAAGCTATTGCACTAACCTTGCAAAGTTGCCATCACAGTTGTTCTCACAGAGCAGCATTTTCTAGTATTTTGCTAGTTTATTTATAACAAAATGGCTAAAGCCAAGTGATTCTGTATAAATAGTGAAAATGTCACAAACAGTTGGAACCAGACATGCAGGACAGGCACCAACAAGAGGCATAACACAGAGTCTGATGGCTACCTGTGAGGGGGGCAACAGGGAGCCAGGAACTGGTCCCTAAAGTCTTATGTGGTAGCTTCCTAAGGAGGAACTCCACCTGGTCTTTCCCGGCTTTATTCAAGGAGCTGGAGAACCTACCACCACATTTCGTGTCTGTGGGCAGTAAGGCACAGGATGAGCTTTGTGTGTTGAGTCAATGATGTGCTGACTTAACAGAGTAGAGGGTGTGAGATGAGACCATTGTCCCATCTATTAGTATGAGCCTGTGGGGGTGTATGGTTTTTTCCAGGGCTTACTGGAAACCCACTGCTGGACAGGGACTCCAAACAAGACTGGAAAGAAATCTCACTCAGTCCAAAGCCCAGGAGGTATGTGTAACTTCTTCACCGCAGAAAATTGCATTCGTCTACTAAGGACACAGAACTGCTGTATGACAAACATGGCCAACCTCAGTGCTTGGATGCAAGGTCTTACAGATTGTACCACCACCACCATCAGGTGCCCTGGTCTCCTCACAGCACTCAGTATCCAGTGAGGTAGCGCTGAGCAATGTGGAAAGAGGTCATAAACTCTACAAGTCATCCAACCAACAAGACAGGACAACATACTTCTCTTTGGCAATGGGATATTACGCAGCGCTCCCTGCTCTCACAGCATTGCCATCTGGCAAGTGAAGGCTGGGGCTTGCTCTCTCCATCTGCACAAACCGGGGCCTACAAAATGTCCTACAGACCCACTTCAAACAGAACATCTGCGTGGGCTGTGTCTGGAAATGAAAGCCTGAGAAAGGGGCTCCACTTGGTGTTGTGAAGGACGTGGGTTTGACTCCTTGCACTCTTGCAAATCCAAATTCCTCTGCGGCTTTGCTGACTGCCTGAGCAAGCTCCTAAAGACAGAGATTACACCGGTACACTGACGGCAAAATCAAACCCTTGATTTACTACTCACTAGCTCAGAGCAGAAAAGCTAAAGTACCACTTCACCCCTCCTCCTCCTCCTGGACAAACCTCTACCCTCCGGTATATACAAAAGGTACTTCGCAGCTCGGAACAACGGTTCTTTGGGGGACTAAGATGTGACACCACCCCCCAGCCCAACTCGGCCACCAGCGCGCCGCAGCGGTCCCCGAGGTGCGCCGCGGCCGGCGGTGCTGGCAGCGGCAGCGGCGGCGGCAGCGTCAGCGGCAG